CTAAGGGACTGGTAATTAATTGGGAGATTTCGCACTGCATTTGCGTGAAACGGCAAACGTCAGCTTGCCCTTTCATGTTTGACGTAAAATAGCGGAAACCTTGCTGTCTTAGCTTCGCGTGACCGTACGTCATTCGCGTGACCGTACGTCATGGCGGATTTGAAGGCGCCCTTGTACGTCTTACAAGAAATAGTATTGGTGCCCTTTTTTCCAGCAATTAACTTCTACTCTGGGAGAAAAAAGGTAAAGAAAATCTTACGCCCACGACAGACGCATAACAGGTTACTTTCACGAAGGAACGGCAAAAGTGCAACCGGCAAACGTGGAAAAATTGGCGGGAAAAACAAGGTCACGTAGTCACTTTTTCTGTTCACGTTTCACGTAATCACGGTGCGAAATCTCTCCATTAATCGCCTGGGAAGAGGGGGGTTGGAGGATTTTGGTTGTGTGACAATTATATATACCTGATCCTCCTAGGGTTGGGTTCCCTCCCCCTCCCTCATTGGTAGTCAATTTTCCATAGTCCCCTCTTTGCACTCTGTCAGCGACGACTGATCTACCCCTTCGTTCACGAGATCTTCCCCAAAGTCCACCGACCCCTCCCCTCCTCAAGCGATAAATAATGACTGCCCCCTAAAATTGTGTTCACGGTTTATGCTACAACTGTTTTCCAGCTTTTTGCTTCTTCTGTCTTTTTATATTTAAAGTAGTTGTACTCACCGCGTAAATTTATGTTCTTGAACGGTCCAGGTGGCGATGAACTACTTCTGGTTCAATCAGACGTTAACAAAAGCTGTAGAAGAACCCAGGTTTCATCATCAGTTACTGCCAAACTTCCTTCGCATCGAAAGAATCCGCCCCATTTCTCTCGCCGTTCAAGAGGGATTGAAGAGGCTTGGGCACAACTTAACAGAATTCTCCTCCGCAGTAGTACAAGCGGCGGCCGTAAGCCCTGATGGGAAACGTTACGGAAAGGCGGATCCCAGAAAAGGCTCCTGGGCAGCCGGATTTTGAAGATGATTAAAAGAAAAGCTAATACTATAGTTCGAAACATATATAGACCTACTTGTTATCATTTGCGATGTAGCTCTTCGGCGAAGCTTTTTTTTTCGCAGAGGCTGGAGAGGGGCACATTACTCAGTCGAGACATTTTTTTTGTTACTTTTTTTACGTTTCCTTTCGTAAATTAATAAATGAGCAGTAATGTCCTTTAACAAGAAAAGATGCTTTCTCTTTCCCAGTAAGCTTTTCTTAAAGATTTTTATAGTTATGCTCGGTCTTCAGTATAGATATTTGTAACTTAAAAAAAAAATAATAATATGCATCGTCTTATTAATGAATTCAGTTTCCCAGTGGATGCTTTACGAAGTAATAAAGCCGACATGTAACTAGTTATGTCTTAATACCAATAGCACGGGGCACTATA